GTTACATCCTTTAAAATATATGTAAATTACTTTAATTATTAAATTATACTTATTTTTGTTATGTCCAAGGTCTCCTTACCATCTGTCCCGTCTCTCCCTCGTAAGAGGGAGAATTGGGACAAAATTTAACTTAACGATTTCACTAATTCCTTATTCATGAAAAAAGTTACATCCTTTAAAATATATGTAAATTACTTCAGAATACTCTAAGGAATTAATCTCAGTTGTTGTTGCTGTAAAATTTTGAAAAACATAGACTACAAAAAATAAAATGTCAAAATTGTCCCATCTGTCCCTCATCTTTTCTATCTATCGACACAAGCGCGAAAGCGCCGAAATGCTGGTCCGCCCTTCTTCCCTTGCTCTCCTTTGTCGTTGTCTTTCCCGTTTCTCGCCACTCGGAAGCATTAACCGGAATATCCGACGGGCGCACCTGCCTTCCGGGGTCGTACAAAAGAGAAAGAGAGAGAGATAAGGACTCGCGGTCGTTTCCGCAGAAAGCGAGAGAGCTCCGCGGGGAAACAGCGAGAGCTTTCGCGATTTTACTCCGCAGCAAATACGTTGTGAGACATCGGCCTCTACGCGCAGCTGAACGTGTGACACCAAAGTCATTGTTATGCGATCGTTCCGAGCGGATCGTTCCTACCACGCGGGATATCGAAAGTCGTTGAACGCCTTTTGGTGAACGTCCGCGATCATATTCGCGTTTCGTACGCAACGTTCCGTTGACGCGGTAAGCGCTGGGATTAAGCGCGATCCGATATTAACGTGGGAAAAATTGTGTCGATATGTCGTTATGACATTTTCTAATTGTCCCTTCATTTGGCACTTGTACGGTAACTCATAGAGAAATCGCAGTGTACTAAGTAGACTAGGTTAAACTGAACAAAAAGTTCATCTACCATTTTGCGAACAACCACGTAAAATTATAAGTTATTAGGTGTGAGAATTAAAAATGTCGATTTTATTTTGCTTCAAAAACTCGTTTATTTGAAGAAACCGTATAATATAATTTTATACAAAGTATTCCCCTTTATTGGCTATAACTTTTCTCCATCTTTTTGGCAATTCATGGATACCATCATAAAAGAATTGTTCGTCTTTGAAGGCGATCCATTTATTGATCCATTTTCAGATTTCATTAACATTTCTGAAGTGCTGCCTATAAAGGCCGTGCGCCATCGATTGAAACAAATGATAATTAGAAGGGGCAATGTCTGGTGAATATGGCGGGTGGGGCAAGACATCCCATCGAAGCATTTCTAACGTTTCCTGGACCTGCCTTGCAACATATGGCCTTGAATTGTCATGCTGAAAAATCACTTTGTCGTTTCTTTTAGCGTATTCTGACCGTTTTTCTTTCAAAACACGGCTTAAATTAATTAGTTGTTGTCGACAATGTTCAGTATTAAAATATTTATCGGATTTCAACAGCTCGTAATACACCACGCCTTTCTGATCCCACCAAATACACAGCATTACCTTAGAACTATGAATATTCGGTCTTGGCTGCGATGTTGATAGTTCACTTGGCTTTACATACGATTTTTTGCATTCGGGATTATCAAAATAAACCCATTTTTTACCGCTAGTAATTATTCGATGCAAAAATGACTTCCTTCTGAATCTTTGAAGCAGTAATTCACTGCTCATTAATCGCCTTGCGATGTCTTGTTCTCTGAGCTCATATGAGCCCATTTTCCTTCTTTGTAAATCTTTCCCATGGCATGTAAGCGTTGGCTGATAGTTGATTGATTAACATTTAATGCTTTGGCAAGCTGTTTTTGCGTTTGACATGAATCTTCTTTCAATAAGCCTTCCAAATCTGTGTCTTCGTAATTTTTCAGCTGACCAGAGCAATGTTTGTCACTCACGTTAAAATCGCCACTTTCGAATTGACTTAATCAAGATTCACAAATTCTCTCGGTTGGAGCATATTCACCATAAACTTTTTCGAGCATACGACGGCTTTCAGCAGCACTTTTATTTGAATTAAACAGGAAAAGTAAAACCTCCCGCAAATGCTGTTCTTTTGGCTCAAAATTCGACATGTTTATTGCAATAAAAAATTGTGTTGTTATTTTGACAAACTATGACGTATTAAGTATTGTAGTATGATGACAGGTTAAAATTCAGCAGCTGTCATTACATCAATAGCTGTTGAATATATATGATTAGCGCCTTCTCTTAGAAAATCTACATTACTATCCGAATAAAAATATATATAATAGAGCAGATTTCAAGACTAGTAGCTAGATAGTAATGACTAGATAAGTTTTCTAGCCAGTCACTAGCTCGTGACTGGCTAAATATTCTTACTCAGTCTTTTGAATGTCAGGACTGTCTAGTAACTATACCAATTATATAAATAGTGGCTAGATGGAAAATATTACATAGTAACGAGATAGAAAATCATCGGTAAATCCTGAATAGAAATTGGATATCAGAACTGTCTAGTAACTATACTAATTACATAGACAATAGTTAGACGAATAAAAGTATACAGTAACGAGATAGAAAATCATCGATAACTCTTGAATAAAAATTGGACGTCAGAACTATCTAGTACTTACACCAATTACATAAACAGTGACTAGACGAAAAGGATTTTACAGTAACGATATAAAAAATCATCGATATATCCTGAGTAGAGATTGGACATCAGAACTGTCTACCTACTAGATAAATAAGATAAATAGTAAATTTATGTATAGATAATGACGATATAATACATAAATTTACTATCTAGTGGATAGACAGTTTTGACATCTAATTTTCATTCTGGATTTACAGTACATTGCTACTAGACAGTTACTAGACAGCGTTTGATATTCAATTTCTATTCAGGATTTACTAAATCTTCCATCTCGTTACTGTGTAATTTTTTTCATCTAGACATTAGATAAAACGGCGTTGAGTAAACCATATGTAGCTAATATAAAACGTTTACTACCGACTATAGTAGTGATCTAGCAAGTAAAGTGCCAGATTCAAGAGCCAAAGATCTTCAGGTTCAAGTCCCGAAGTATAAAATGAATTTTTCCAATAGAATGGAAATAATACGTAATGAAGAAGAATTACAGGAAACCAAACTCCCATTGGTGGGGGACACCTCTCCTAAAGATATATATATATATATATATACGAGGGTGGTCTGAAAAGTTTCCGACCTCAACGTGAAGATAGCAGCACTTGTAAATAAAAGCTAGTGAATTTCGTT